CGACCGGGCGTGTTATTATTGTTGTTATCGTTTGACGGGCCGTCGCGGCGAAAAACGTCTCGTCGTGCGTCAAAAAAAAACAAAAAAAAAACAAACGCCGCGCGATCTCACACACGTCACGGCCGTTTCGTCGGAGCGCGCGAAATTCCGAGCGATTCCGGGCGGTTCGCCGCCGTCACCGGTAATAACGTCCCCGGCAGTAAATAAATCGTCGCCGCGTCGTTGTGATCGCCGGTCGCGCGCATTATCGAACGGGTATTGCAGAGTGACGCGCGCGCGAATAACGACAATTGTTATCCCGTAAACGAAACGTCGGCCCGTAGCCGCATCCCGTCACCCCCCCTACCCCCCACCGCCCCCACACACACACCTCCCAACCGCCCGCCCGCCGGATAATGCGCTCGCGTTCCTATAAACGCTTACCCGCGCGGCGTTGTTGTTCGTCGATACGCGCGTACGCGCGGCCGGCGTATCCCGCGAACCTTTGCCGAACCGCGACAGAACGTAATATTACAAACAACATAAACGATATAATAACACGTCGTTGTACGCCGCCGCGGCCGGCGCGCGCGCGCGCGTTGTTTACCGCGGTGTTCGCGCGAGAGAGCGCGCGCGCGTGTCCGCGGCGTGTGCGACGCGCATAAACGGCGACGACGCGGAGAAACGTCTCGGGGGCCCCGGACCGGAGAGACCGAGAGTATAATAATAATGAGTAATAATAGTAATAGCGACGACGGCGGCGACCGGCAGGAATTTAATTATAATTAATGCGCCGCTACGCGCCGACGTCGGTAATTTAACGTTATTGTTTTTTTTTTTTTTTTTCTGTATACGCGAATTATAAATTATTATTTTATTGTTCTCCGCGTACATTATATTGTCGTTGTAAGTTCGGCCCGACGCGCGAAAACTGCGTAAACCACTCCGGTACACAGGAGCCGTGCGTGAGAACCGGATCGGCCAGTGGAGGGCCACAGCTCCCGGGGTCTCCCGGCCTTACGGACTCGGGGATCCCCTCGCCTCGGAGAGAAAAAGGATCCGCGCGAAAACCGAAAACCCGGGCGGCACCGAGCCCACGACGGAGATCCGACGAACGGACCGCTGGATTACCAATGCGTGGGCCGGCAGGCGAGTCAGGGTTCCGCTGGACCCGAGAAGGCGGTTGACAAGACGTCCCGAGGACCTCGACCTCCACGTCACTCGGGCTTTATCGGGTTACGGGTGCTTCGGGCGCTTTCTCACACTAGGCTTTATCACATCAGCAGCCAATATCTCTTGATCCGTTCGGGCTGTTCCGTCTAGATGCACAAGTCAATGGCGGGACGGTTCAAATTTTGAATTTCACTGCGACGGTTATGCTTATCCGCGACTGTGGCGTATAAAGAATACTGTTTTCGTCAGGGAGAAGGTCCATAATGGACAACAGGCATTTAAGAGGGATGCAAGACATACTTGATCAAACAACGTTTATTATAACAATATAAGCGATCGAGTAAAATAAATCGAGCTAATTTATTTACATTTTGGTTTAGACATTAAGTATATGGGCACACAGAACGAATACGTATAGGTATTGTTCAACAACATTAGCACTCCGCCAGTCTACGTCGAATCGCCATCAAAGGCCACCGGCCACCGCATTCCAGGGGCCAAGGAAGTCAAATACCTAAGCGTAACCTTCGACCAGAATCTCACGTTCTCTACACACGTCCGCGACACTGTAAAAAAGACAACGAGAGTCCGCGGTGGATGTGTGGTATCCGGTACTGTTCAGTACTGTTTACTCCGATACCGTTTCATTCCAAATTCGGTCCTGCGTGGAGACCTCTCATCTCACCAACTGATTGGATTTAAATTGAAACCGTCCAGAATACCTGTGTGCGCACGTCAAATACCTCTCAAACAAATCACCACCTAATTTCGTACATCTACAATCACTTCTCACACAACAACATTTGGGCTTTATTTTGCAAAAACTCAACGTCCGCTCATAACTACATCAGGAACCTCAAATCGACAGTCTTCCGAGCCCTAAACAATAAACGTCGTCCACTAATTTGGTGAACCTATCAGGTCAATCGGGTCATACACTCATACTTCTAGCTTCCCATCAAACATAATAGGCTCAGGCCTGACATTTTTTTCACAGGTTCTTCGCGCCGCTCAGATAAGCAATACAATAAATACGTAGTCCTTATTATTGATTATCTATTATTGCGATCACACTAAAAACTATTCTTACCAACATGGACGCTTTCGTTTATCTGACTTTTAAACTGAGTTTTTAGTTGATAGCTGACCACGGTTAGCAGAAAATTTAGCACCTGGTAGCGGCTAACCGGACATAGTACTAACGATCTTTAGTATACAGATCAAAGATAAATGCAAAATAGAAAATAATATGCAAGCATATGCCTACCGGTGTTGTTTGTAAATGTGTTTGCAGAAATTGTGGGGGATTGTTGTGGCGACACAGTAAAACCACATAGCGAAACTACAGCCCCTATCTGAAAAGTATCCTAGTTGGTTTTAGGAGATTTACAAAACATAACTTACACGTTTGTTAAAATCTGATAGTGTTCCGAGGAAGTAACGGTATCCTAAGTGTAACCCTAAAACCTAATAGGTACTAGTCGATGAAAAACCACGACGAGTCGCACGTGTTTATACATGTTTACCGTTTATCCTGAACTCGGATAAACAGTGTAAATACGTCGTCGGGTAACAGTGGTGTACATTTGGAGGTGAGGCCTGGCACAGTGTGCTATGACCCCTCCCAGAAATGTGTTTCTCGGCTGAGAAATTTTGCGCAGACTTACTTAAAATCCAAAAAAAAAAAAAAAAACCGTCACATATTATGTATTTGTCCACTACAACGCGATGGTTTCAGGTTTCAAAACATAAATTTAGAACACCTTATATCCCCATCGTGTCCGTCCGCCCATATTGTCACTATGTAGTAGGTGCATATGGTTGCGGTTGTTGAATTATTTGACACGGAGATATTATAATACATTATGAGTATTAAAATATTCATTCATACCATCCAATACTAAAAAAAAAAAAAATTAGGCGCGTATACCAAAATATTAATAGTACACGGAGAGTTTAGAAATATTCTGTCGACTATAAAATACAATTATTTAGACCGATTTATGATTGAAATACGGGACAAAACCGACGGAACTCGGTTTTTTTTTTAAACTTCAATAATTTCTATACGTGACAGTCCGGCCGCTCGTATGGTTTTTCTCGCGATCTCGTCGCCGTTTCGTATGCGGTTACTTCTTAATCAGTAGTCGACCGCGATATCAACGGCAGCTGCCAGCGGAAACAATCGTCTAAAAACGCGATATTATAATGTATAAGTATAATGCCGAGGACATCACGCGATCCATTCAGTTTACGAAAAAAAAAAAAAAAAAACCACATATTATTATAATATTTATAAAAGGTAGGTACATAAAACGCGTAGGTTTCGAAATTGTTCAATTCCTGTCGTCGAAAAAAAAAGAAAAAAAAAAAAACACTGTTCGTTAGTTCTTTTACATATTATTATTATTATACAGACTGCAGACTTGTTTTCGACTCACAAGCGATAATTGTCGACATGAATATTATATTATAGAAGTCGCGTTATCGCGCGACCATCGACCGAGACCGCGGGACGGTTATCATCTCGATCACTCCGTTAGTTTGTTGATTTAGTCCGTTCTCATGGTTTTTTTTATTATTATTATTTTTTTTTTTTCATATATTATTACATTATTTTCACGTTTAAAACTATTCGAAAAATGTAATTTTAATTTGAATACACGACGGATTTTCGACCGCGATCGACCGAACTACATAATTCCCCTCCGTGCGGAACATAATTATAATTATTTCGCTACATAATAATAATTATCAGCACGGGTTAAAATAGAACAGATACCGGAGTGTTAAAAACGATAGTTGTATTACGGCTTTATAAAAACGGCGATGATTTTCGTTCGCAAAATATTGGATATTTATTCTGTGTTACGGGCAGAGTGTGTACAATTTTCGTGTTATATAAAATGTCCATCGTACACATTGGGCGGTACGCAGGCAATTTTTAATTATAATTAACTTGCTTATTAGTAGTGCAGATGACATGAGAGTAAACATACAAGCGCATATGCACTCTCAAACTCTAAAATATATAGGTACTAAAAATAGGTTTGACAATTTCTTTCTAGCCATTTAATTAAAAAATATCTAAAATAAGAAAAACAATTACCAACCTAATTATTTAGTTGCATGTCATAACATGGTCATATTATGAAAAAACATATTTTCATCTTTTATGACATTTTTACTTTTACTATTTATTTATTTAATTAAGTTGTCTTCGTATTATTAAATTCCCCGATTGGTTGCTGAATTTGATTGATTTTTATACAATATAATTTAATTTGATAATTTTCTTCAGACATTAAAAATAAACGTTTTTAATATATTCATTAATGGTGTTATTATTGATTATCGTTTTGATAAATGTTCTGTTCTAATATATTGTCCGAAAAAGCCCAAAAGACTCCCAAAAAAACATAAAAAACCTACTAATGTCTCAAAGAGTAAAAGATCTAAATATGCAAAAATATGCGCTTGACATAAATTTATTATAGATTTGCCTTTGTTGTAGCATACGATAAGAGGTTTTGCCTCAGTGTCGAGCAAAGCTAGTAATTTCATTATTTATCCATTTTACTTTGTAACATGTCTACTTTGTATTAGCCATTGTATTAGCTTATCGTATGTACAATTGACACCTTCCCGTTGTAAGAAGGCTAAACAATTCTAAGTTATATGAATCAACATAAAGGAGATGTCTATCGTTCTTCAACATCTCCTAGTAAGCTTAGTTTAGGCGGAGACCTTTTCTTTTTACGACCAGTTCTAGAGTGTTATTCGTGGTGATGTTTCGTGACCGGTGGAGTGAGAGCATGTAGGTGGCTTGAACGGTCATGCGATGTATGTTATACGGCAGCCCGTCGGTTGGCCTTCGCCTTGGCCTTTTTGATTCTCTCATCTTGCTCCTTGTGGCACACGATATCCTCCACTGAATGCCATGAGCAAATGCGGCCATCCATGAGTTGGTCATGCCTGATCGTCTCGGCGTGGAATGTCTGCTGGGCCGCAAAAAAGATCCTGACGACGGACATTATTAGAGCCCTTTTAATTGGACTGAAGGCCCTCTTCTGCCCTACTTATTAGATTCGATTATTGTGTTTTTAAATACTGGTTTAAATATATTTACTGCGTAAGATATAATTGGATAATATAGTATTTTTAGTTTTCACAAATGGAATTTTTTTTTTTTTTTATTTCATACTATTTGTTTGAATTTTTTTTTTTTGTTTAATCAACACTTATTGTTATTGCATACAGTGCTGCCTATGGCGTTTTGACGTGCATATAGCCGTTCCATTGCTTTTTACTTGTAATATCGTGTTTCTTACATTTATATGCAAACGTATACATCGTTCTTAGATTCCTTGGCCACCCAAATCGAATAATTTGAAAAACGTACATAATATTCATTCAAAAAAATATACAAAATATACCTATAATCATTTGGCTTCATTGTTTTTTTTTTTTTTTTTTTTAAATTTGTTCTTTATTTGAATTGTGTATAATTAATTCAGTATATCTCCGTTAAACGTGTAGTAAGTATATTTCAACCTTTTTTTTTTTTTTACAGAACATTAATATTTATATTAAACTTTTCCACTTTTAATAAACTCGAAATAAAAGTACGCACGTGAGCTGCACAATATCAAAGTAAAATGTAAAAGATAGATATTTATTAATTATGGCATTGCAATAATGAAAATGAAAATTATTATTACAATATAAATACTACATTCATTGTATTATCCACAGACACGCGCCGAATTCGGGCGAACAGTAGAGTACGGACGGTTATTTTCGTTGTTAATAAAACGTTAATTTAATATTTATTATTTATAATGCATTTATTCTCATTTATTGTTTATTATTCATAACTCTGTCGATTTTATGTTTCTATTGTTAAGAGAGTTGCCTTTATTATTATTCACAATCAGTTAATTTCATTATGTTTATTGCTTTATATTACTTTAGTTCGTTATAAATTGAGTCGTTGATTCACTTAAACGCCGTGAGAAATAAATAAATAACACCTACAAAATCTATATTGCCCAGTATATGTTAGCAGCATTGCAAAGTGTTTTGAACGTTCAAAAATTAAATTAAAATAGCAAATAATACAATCTTAAGAGTGAAGATTTTGTTTATGTAGTTCCTATTACTTTTGTGCAAAGAAGTAACATTATATTTTGTTCTTAAATTATTATTGTATAGTTCTGTTTATAATTAACTATTAACATAATATGGTATTTATATAAAAAATAAAAATAAAATACGTTCTTAACGAGAAATTGTTTTTTTTTTTTTTTTAACCCTGTACGTGGGACGTTTTATACAATGCTTGAACTACAATGACGTAAACTGTATTTTAAATTGAGACTGGGAAAAAAACGTTTTTGCTTGAGACTTGGGTGAGAATAAGAGGGAGCAGAATTTTGTCCCACTCAAAAAAATTAGAAAAGTTTTTTCATCCATACATATATTTTAATGTCATACTTTAAACTAAAATATAAATTAAAAAAATAACTTAACAGATACTAAACTAAGACTAAATAATATATGTTTTGATATTATTTGTAACCGTAGGCGTAATTTGAAATCAAATCATGGGGTAACAAGCAGCTTGAATAATATTTTTAATTCCGTTATGGAATAATGAAATGAAGGAGTAGTGGGCGGAAGTCTTAGTCGATTGTTCATCAGAATTAGGTAGAAATGCATACATCAAATAAGTTTAGAATTATAAGTAATCGATTGAGTGATCTTTATACGTTCAAATTCAATACAGCCGATAATATAAAGTGTATTAGTGTTATTATATTACCAAAAAAGTTAGAAAGTGTACTTTTTTAAAAATAACTCATAAAGTATCGTATTTATCAATTTGTAACCACGATTAAAAAATATCAGGGTAGCAATTGCTTACTCCCACTACTTTGTTATAACGTCTATTTGTACACTTATTTTCAATAATAGCTGAATTTTCCTATGAAAATTTTTTGAGGAAAATCATAAATTATATCATTCTAAATAATATCATATTTTAAATTCTGAGTGGAGCGAAAAAGCTTATAGTTTTACAAATGTGTTTATTTTATTTTTTTATCTGTGCGCAACTTTTCTACCAGAAAGTAGAAAGCTTGGCTTTCTGTGTGTAGTAACTTTTATGAAAGGAAATCGGCGTAAAAAGGTACTTTAAAGAGGTCATTTTTCGATATCAGAGTTTTCTCAATAAATTTGAAAACTGAAAAGAAAGGAGGAAAAACGGGAAAATGTACGAAATATATTAGTATAATATTACGATTTTTTTTCCCGTACAACTTTTCTACCAGTAATTTTTAATGATAGCAATGTTTTTATAAAATAATTTCACTAGAGAGATACTTTAGAGAGGTCATATTTTGATTTTCCCAAGAGTTTTCCCAGAAAATGTGAAAAACCGGGGTAAAACATGGGAAACCTGGAAAATCATAGGAAAACTGAAGAAAGTTGTACGATATTAAACACATTTTATTAAAGAAAATATATAAAGCCTATTAAATTATTTTACTAAAAAATGACATACGTATTGTTGACAAAGCATCACTATCAATCGAACTCCACTCTGAATCGTTTTTTCGTAAACAATGGTTTATTGTTGTTTACAGATATACATTAAATTCCCGTCTATATCTTACCTTCCCAACTTCCCACCTACAATAGTGTTTGCACGCGTCCCCATTATCTAACCTTTCTTTTTTTATTTATATCGGTTAAACAATTTTATAGCTAACCAATCGAGTTTATTTTCTGGAATACTGCTTCTCTTTAAATCGTTTTCATATACGGTTCAGTGGAGAAAATGTTCTTTTAGGACATTTTAAGTAGAAGAAAAAATGACCAATAACTTAGTTGACACTCAAATTGTAAAAAAACCATAAAAATACGACTCATGGGGTACACTATAGTTCTCTTTTTCCCCTTCTTCTTAGCTGCGCTTCTGGTCTGGTCATTATAACAAACGCCTAAATTGTATAATATGTCCGTAACATATAAACGGTACTGGGAAAGAAAATCAAAAGAGTCACTTGAGTTACACAGTACGAGTGCAGTATAGACGATTTATCCGTTATATTTTGAACGTGATTGTTATTATATGTTTAAAAAATAAATTGATTTTGCTCAATACATTTAAAAATTCAATATTTTACTGAATTCAAACTTTTCACCGTGTAAAACAAAATCGTTACGTTTAAAAACACTGTTTTCTGAAGAAAAAAAGTGTCTTTTCGGTTTTCTATTTTATTAAAAGTGTCTTTTACCCTGCGTGTATATAATCAATATTCAATTCATTCGAATAAAATGCGCTATAGTGTTTCATTGGATACTGCGCGCGTTTGAATGTTAAAATCGAATAGCGGGCCTGTATCAGCTATATACAGCACACACAGACGATATTCGATCGAATACGCTCAGTGTATATTGACGTATATTTCGTTCGTCTCGAACCGTGATAATTATTAAAATTATTGTCAAATAATAATAATAATAATAATAATAATAATTGCTTTCGTATTATAGATTAAGCTAACAGTAATGTACCGTATATTACAATATATTTTAATAGTTCTGCCAAACTAGGTCGCCAAGATAACCCCCAACCTCTCAAGTAGTACCATATTAATAATAATTGCAGGATCGCTCGAACAACATATTAATATATTATTAAGACCATTAAACATAATAAACTCGCAACGCTATTGTTATTCAATCGCCGTATATTATAATATTGATAATTGCGTGTGTTGCATTTCTCCTGCTGCAGTCCTGCAGTGCTGCACTCCTCTTGCACTTATTGCGCGGCCCGCTATATTATCATTGTTATAACGTTTAATCGATTTTTATTGTGAAAAGACGAAACGAACATAATATATAATAATATCAGTGTATGTAAGAAACGGAAAAAAATAATACTCCTCGGCCGTCACCAGAGTGTAATTCTATATTTCCGGATAAATTATTATAACATACGAATTGAAAAACCGAAACGTTTCGATTACGTTTTATAAAAATAAAATTTCAATTTTGGGTCATGTCCAAAACACGGGGGAAAAAAAAAAAAATTAATAATAATTTGTCTTTGTTTGCGTAATACCTAATCATAATAATGATTCGCATGTAATCCGGTAATTACCGGCGCGTTTTCTCTCTCTCTCTCTCACTCTTTCTCTCTCTCTTTCTCTTTCCCCGTCGCATGCGTATTTTTAATTTTTTAAACGCAGTAACCGTGTATAAGATTCAATCTAAATTAAAGACTACGGTGTACAACGTACGAGTGTATTATAGCTGAATATTTAAACATGCCCTCGCAAGACCGTACACACCAATGTAATAGACGCAGTATAATACAAGTAAACTTTATAATTCGGCGTGGGTTTCGGAATAGAATGTACCTATAATAATATACATAATGTAACCGTACTATAATATTATTACATACTATAGTAGCGCTTCGGAAATATTACTATACGTACAGGTGCGTATATAGGCGCGATATTAACTTATATTTTTTAACACGTATAAAAAATGTGTTACAACCCTTTTAAATATATAATAACATAACCGTATATATATATATATATATATATTATATTATATTGTATTATATATACATACATATTATAACGTTGTATTATACGCTAAAATCCTTTATGTTTTTTTGGCACGTCTCCCTCATTATAACGTATAATATTATAGGCAAGTACGTACACGTATATATTATAAACCTATATTTATAGGTACTTGCGAAGTTGCGACACACCGAAACTGTAACTTATAGCCGCGGCATTATAACGTAGAGTTTATAATATTATTATAACGTAAACAACGAAATATCCCGACCTAGAAATAATAATAATATAAAAAAACAAAAAAACGAAAACTCAAGATAATTTATAAACAAAAAAAAAAACATATCGCCCGGTCAGCTGAGCTGCTGCCGGTGCGTTGCGGAACAATCTATCATTGTTCGGTGTCCGAAATAAATAGTTTACGC